GCAGGCACTGTGTTTAGAAAAATGGAGGCTCAGAGAGAGAGAGAAAATGATGAATAGTAGAAGTGGTGGATTCAAAACATAGGGTTTTTGTTTAAGGCGTATGGAAAAGGCGGGACTGTTCAAAATACGCGAAGTACGAAGACGGCTGGGACAACTGTGCTTGACCAATGGGGGTCAGCCACGTGTTCGTGGAATAGTAAGCGATTCAGTTTTGTAGCGACTGAAAAGACTTTTTTTTGACCGAACTGTTTGGTAGCCCGGCGGCGTTTTAGCTTGGTTGAAAGGCTAAAGTTTTTAGCTCGGCTGGTAACAAATAATCCCAATCATGCTACGCAGATGGAATTAAGGGGCAATTGAGAGGGTAATTTGTAATTGGGCCGAGCTAAGGCCTTCTTTGTAAGTTGGGCCGCACAATGGACCGGGGTAAGGTTTGACGTATCCTGGTCTTAGAGCTAGCAAGCTTGACCCAGGCACAGTTCGGACCGAGCTATGGATTGAGGAGCTTGGGCCTTGCGTGATAGACCTCATCCTGGTTAGCCCGGTGAGGGATTGTTGTAGTTAGCTCGGTTCAAACAACTAGAACCGAGGTGTACTTGGACGGGGACCGAGCTAGGCACTGCGTACAGAATCACCGAATTGAGTATGTCAAAGGGTAAGTGTTAGCTCGGTCATCTTGTCATCCAACCGTGGTAAAACCATCTCACTTGGTTTAAACAGTGAGGGGGTGTTAAAGGATAAATATTATCTTTCAGGAGTGTGATTCCTAGGAGGACTCCACTTGGAGGAATAAGAGTCCTACTAAGATTGTGCTATGCGGAACCTATAAAAGCTCACAATATAACCTATGTAAAGGTAACACAACTTTGATTCTCGAATACACAGAGCTTTTGTCTATTTGTCTATTTTGCTGACTTAGGCATCGGAGAGGTATCCGGCACACACCTACCGGCTAGCTCACATTTGTGTTTTCAGAGAGTAAAGCGACGACGTTTGGAGGAGCGCAGACTTGATCAACAGGATTATACGAGAACATTATTTCGTGCTCGTATAATTTTAATCCTAATATTATTTACACCGTGCCTTCAGGCACGGGCATACACTAGTATTATATCACTCTCTTTATTTTTTTACATATGAAAAGTTAACAACCTAACTAAAATGAGTAAACGTGCACACAACATATAAGGACTTTGTTTTTGTTTTTTTGGGGACTTACATATACATTTTAATATGTAAATTTATTATTCAATAAGTCTTGTAGAAATTAATGACATTTTTGGGTTTAGCTTCCCTCTAGTCTGTGATTAGACTGGAGGGTGTTGTTGGGCCTATGGAGGCCCACCATGGATCCTATGTTGATAATCTGAACCATTCAATGGCCCTGTTTGGTAGAGTTGTGGAAAAGTGATTACAGATTATAACTTATAGCTGTGAATCTAAGCTATTAACATGTTTGGTGCAGCTGTGAGATTATGGATTTAAGCAGCAGAATAGTGTTTGGTTGATAAGTTATAAAATAGCTTTTTGCTGTGTAATTATCTTTTTTGCCCTTATATGATATAACAATGATTATTTTGACATTTTTTTTAGTTTTAATTTTAAAAAAATTATTTCATTAATAAAAGTTTAATAAAAGTTAATATAATTAGTATTACAAAAATTAATATTTTCATTAATAGTATCAATTAATATAAAATTATTTCATTTTTGCATTATAAATTAATTAGTGTGAATTAATGGCTTAATTGCATCAATACTTTTTCTCTTTCTCCTTATTTTCTTTTCTCTTTTTTTTCCCCATCCTTCTCTTCTTTCTTTTTGTTAATTTTGTTTAATTTATTAATTCATTACAATTAATATCCATGTATTTATATTAATAATGTTGTGATGTCATTACATATTATTTTTCTTTATATTAATTTCAATTAGTTATGTGATAGAAGTTATAATATTCATTTTTTTATTTCATATAATATAAGTTATTTCATTTTTTTTCTTCAATTTTAATTTTTTTTAAAAATTGTGATTATGTTTTTATTAAATTTTTTTCATTACAATTAATAATATAACAATTATATTTCTTTTCATTAGTGGAAGTAAATTGTATTTTTTTAAATTGAAATAAAATTGTGCAATTTATTTCTTTATTTAAATTGTGAAATTGTGAAAGTTATATCAATAATTGTGAAGTAAATTGTGTAATTTATTTAATGGATATAAAATGCACAATTTATTTCAATATTAATTGAAATATTTTAAAAAAAAAATTAAATGGAAGTAATTGAAATAAATTGTTTTTTTATTGTCTTTTTTTTTTCTTCTTCTTTTTTTCTTTACAACTTTGCAAAACCCTAGATCTGAGGAGTCGTCGCCGTCGCTGTCGCTACTGGCGATGGTTTGCAAGAAGCCCTCTCTCAGCTCATGCATCTCCTCCACCACCATCAAAAACCCTAGATTTGAGGAGCTTGTTGTCACAATTTGGTCTTTGAAGGTTGCAATGATGGCAGATCGCGATGACGATCATGGCGATTGAGACGATTACAAAAAGAGAGATATCGCAGTGGTGGTTGAGTGTGATGGTGGCGATGCTAAAAATTGTGATTCTGTTTTTATTAAATTTTTTTCATTAATAATATAACAATTATATTTCTTTTCATTAGTGGAAGTAAATTGTATTTTTTTAAATTGAAATAAAATTGTGAAAGTTATATCAATAATTGTGAAGTAAATTGTGTAATTTATTTAATGGATATAAAATGCACAATTTTTTTCAATATTAATTGAAATATTTTAAAAAAAATTAAATGGAAGTAATTGAAATAAATTGTTTTTTTATTGTCTTTTTTTTTTCTTCTTCTTTTTTTCTTTACAACTTTGCAAAACCCTAGATCTGAGGAGTCGTCGCCGTCGCTGTCGCTACCGGCGATGGTCTGCAAGAAGCCCTCTCTCAGCTCATGCATCTCTTCCACCACCACCAAAAACCCTAGATTTGAGGAGCTTGTTGTCACGATTTGGTCTTTGAAGGTTGCAATGATGGCAGATCGCGTTGACGATCATGGCGATTGAGACGGTTACAGAAAGAGAGATATCGCAGTGGTGGTTGAGTGTGATGGTGGCGATGCGTTGAGGAGAAGACGTGAAGTGAAGGGAGGCGCTATGGTGGTGTTGCCGAAGCTATGGAGGAGGAGATCGACAACCGTTGCAGAGGCATTGATGGTGACGGCGTAGGTATGCTGTGGGAGACGAAGAAAGACAAAAAAAGGAAAGAGACAGAGATAGAGGAAAGGCACAACGGCAAAAATAGAGAGAGAGCTTCACCGGAAATCACCTCTGACCGTCGGAAATCGTCTATGTCTCTCTCACATAGTGAACAGTGATATCTTTGTGGTTTATATAATGATAATTTGGTAATACTTCAAATTGGTAAAGGGCATTTAAGTCATTTCAGCTACCCCTTACCGGCTGCCCTGCATAAGCCGACTTTTGGTTAAGCATCTCCCCAGCTGCTTTGGAAAATAAGCTGAAAATAGCTTCACTTAAGGTATAAGTTGTTTTGATAAACTGTGCCAAACACTTTAAAATTGCTTAATATAAGCTAAAAGCTTAAATAAGCTGCTTATAAGCTGTGCCAAATAGATACAATGTGTAGAACTCGTCGAGTATTATATTTTTGTAAAAAATCACGTTGATTGGATATCGATAGCTACATGATCAAATAAGTTTTGTATAAAAAAAAAATAGACGGTGAAAAAATAAATGGTTGACAGAAATTTGACCTAATTAAATAACTATCGATATCCGATCAACGTGATTTTTTTACAAGCATATAGTACTTGACGAGTTCTACACATTGAAGGTTCGGATTATCGAAACGAGGCCCATGATGGGCCCTAATGGGCCCAATATCACCCTCTAGCCCAAACACGGACTGGAGGGAAGCCAATCCCGACATTTTTTTTTATCAAACACTATTAAAAACGTCATTGATTGTTAATTTTCAGCAACTGTTTAAAAATTATCACCAAAAAATCACTAATTATAAATTTTAACGACGATTTAAAAAAATATCATGAAGAATACGTCATTAATTTTTAACTTTTAACAACAATTTAAAAAATTTATCATAGAAAAACGTCAGTAACTGTAAATTTTAATAACAATTTATAAAAATCATGACAAAAAAAAAACTAATTGTTAATTTTTGATAACATATGCAAAAAAATCGCCATAAAAAATTATTTTTAATGACTATTTTATTAAGACTTATTTTTAATAAAATTTGATATGAATTAAATCTAATTTTTAGAACCTATTAGTACTTTACCCTTCTTTTTATTGGTATGTCTAGAGTTAATTTTATTTTAATATAACTACTTTACAATTTTTTTCAAAAAAATATATAGCGGGATAGTAAAGATAATAATCAATGTCTTTGATTTAAATTTTCTGAATTAAGTTTTTAAAAAATTGAGTTTTTTATTTTTAGTGAATATTTTAAAAATTTTAAGCATTTTTTTTGGATACATCTTACTTAGATATATCTAAAAAGTAAATTATTTGTAAAAAAAGATTTAAAAAATTTAATAAATACACAAAAATACGAAAAATATATTGAATTTTTGTATTTTTTTATATTTTTGAGATTTAGTGATTTTTTTAAAGATTTTCTTCACAAATATTATACTTTTTAAATGTATTTATGTTAAGTGTGTCTAAAAATTTAAAAAGTTGCTTAAAATATTAAAAAAATCAATAAAAACAAAAAAAAACAAAAAATAAGAAAATAAAATTTTCTAAAAAATGTTTTTAGAAAATCCAAACCAAGCAAAGCGAATACAATTTTATCACTACTTTGGCTGCCAATCACCACTTCTTTTTACCTTAAAAAAAAATGAAAGAAAAAAACAAAAAGCTTTACACAGGAAAAAATAAAACAAATTCATATGCCACAACCACTCCCGATAACAAGTGGAAAATCTCTACGTGTGACACCACACAGAGTCTCAAAATGTAACCAATGGCATGTTTAAAAAAAAAAAATAGTTCACATAAAAAGCATTTTTGTTAAATCCATCACCCATTATCTATTCTCATCCTCATATAGTTTCAAACAACAGAACTCATTATGGCTAGCAAGCCATCAAGAGCTACCTTATTCCTAGAAAGCTTCAACATAGAAGTTCTGGCAGCTTGGGGCAGCAAAAATACAACATCAGACCACTCCCTTTATAAGAAGATTGGTGGATCATATAATTCTATCCCTAGAAAGCTTCAACATAGAAGTTCTGGCAGCTTAGTGCAGAAAAATACAAGAAGATGCAGATCAAATAATTCTATTTCAAATGATGCTCGAAAAGAGATGCCATCTCGATCTGCAACACAAGCCAAAACAATCTCTTATGAAACACTGATCATTCATTTAGGGCCACAACTAAATTGTATACTGAAGATGCATGATCGAAAGGAAAAAAAATGTGTATAATATTTCAACATGCATTCAAATTACTGTAACATGATATCAGCCAAGATAAAATAATGAACAGACATAGCAATGTGTATATGTGCCAGATGTGGGAATGCGTGCCTGTTTCATTTAATTATCATGTCAAAAAATGGGACACTGCAAAATAGTTACATTTTTTAATATGCTTTTTTTAGGGGTAAAATGGTGTTCCAAAAGTGTCACAGAGCAAATTTGACTGTTCTCAACCTTTTCTTCTAATGAGTTTGGCATGGAGGCTAAGCATATGAACCCTAAAGCATAATTTTACAGCTCCAAAACACATCTAGGCCGTGGTATCTTTTTTCCCACATGAAGAATTGGAGTTGAGTCATTTGCTTTTTCAATACTTCACCTTACCTTAGATTTCATTGCCAATAGAAAGTTGATTCCCCTACCTCAGTGATACACTAATGCTGTGTTTGGTTGGAAATTTGGAAAGAGATTTGGAAAGAGAAACAGAAAAGATAGGTAAAATAAGAATAAAATATACCTACATTTCACCGAATTTCACACACCTTTTTCCTTTTCATTTCCAAATCCCTCCCCAAATCCCCCAATCAAACACGGCATAAAACCCTCAATCCCCACCTAAAAGGACACATCAGGAACAAATCAAACTCTTCAGACATTATTGTTGTGGTGAAAGGCGATGGTAAGAAAAGTTAACTACTGAAACTCAGCTCAAATTTGCCTAGCTAAGAGAATGAGCAAATGCATTTATCCGTAAGTGGAAGGAACTCAAAAGCAGAACCAAGCTTGTTAGTTACACAAGCAATCAACCACGTGGCAAAGACATTTGACAATCTTTGATTATGCATGTATGTAGCCAACTTACGGCTGTCAAAGCAGCTTCAGAGCCTTTATTCCCTGCTTTACCACCAGCTCGATTTAAAGCCTGCAATCATAACAAAAGCATTCGAAAATCTCATAAAAACTACTAGCACAAGAAATAACTAGAGTTCCCATGCAGAGTTCCACACTGCGGAAAAGAAGAAAACTCTACCATTCAGAAACAGGGGAGTATACAAAAGATTATATGAAGATTTTTAAAAAATAAATAACAATGATAAGAGACTTCAACCAACCACCAATTTTTGAGCCAAGAACTCCTAAACATAAATAAGTAGCTAACCAAAAAAGTAAATGCTAATATCATGAGTTTACCTGATCCATGTCATCACAGGTCAAAACACCAAATATGCAAGGAACTCCTGCAATGTCATTACATTAAATAATAATAATAATAATTAAAAAGCTTCAATTTTTATCAATAAACCAAAACTATAACCAGTAAAAGCACATAAATCACTAAACTTGAATCCTTTCTATATACTGACTACAATGCCCTTCTGTCAAAAAAAGCTAATTCTATTGTCATTGATGGTCCATCCAGCATAATCACTACTTGATTGTGTTCAGATTGTACAATTTATTATACATTTCCTAATTCACGTATGTGGAAACCTAAAAACAATTGATAAATGTAAAGTAAATGAACAGATGAGAATACTACATTTTTACATCTCTAATTTAGCAGGATGGGTTTGACTAAACTTCCATTTAATATCATCTACTTACATCTCAACAAACAAAAAGAAATCCATAGCATTGCTAAACTGACGCAGAAACTTTATAATACAATGAATAAATTACAACTACAAGTTTTCGCTGTCATAAGGATTTTATTTCCATAAAAAAGGACAAGATTAGATTGAAAATAAACATATGAACCAACCTGAATTCAGACCCGCTGAGAGTACTCCAGATGCCACTGAATTAGCAACAGCGTCATAGTGGGAAGTATCACCTCTTATCTACCAACCAAAAATAAATAAATAAAAATTGATTGATTAGGAAATCAATAGCAAGCAGACTGTAATCACACCAAGATGATAAAAGAAAAGCTTAGAGCTTCCTGATTGAAATATAACCCATATAGATTAAACATCCTTCAACAATAGTAACAGTAATTGTGGAAGAAGATTGAAGTGCTTATTCAATTACTGGTATGAATAAAGTCAAGAAGCATTCCTCACAGGAAGGGAAGCATTCTATGACGGTTCAAACCAAAAACATAAGACATAAAATGAAATTACAACAATTGGAACAATCATAACAAAACAAAGAGAATAAAACACACCTGGAGAACCTTTGTATGCCAGGGCATTTCTCCCTAAACAATTCTGAATATATGCTTCAGGCAAAAGTCTAATACTTTTGTGAGAAATGAAGTACCAATAAAATTTCTCATCCACCTCTCCAAGCCCAACCAAATAAGCAGTGTTCACTAAAGTTGTCATAACAATAAGCCATACATCTCCCAAAGAGGTCCATCACAATGCATCATAGTCATTTTAAAAAGGACTAGTGTTTAAAATAATGTGGCACGTGTCTAATCCCAAACCAATAAAATCCTTTCTGTAATCCACGTGCACACACCCCCGACCACCCACTCACCACACAGACACATAATTAGCCACTGTCCTGTTATATGGCAAAGCTACACCCTAACTTCCTATCACAGAATCAAAATAGTTGTAATAAAATGAAAATCAATGCACTACCCATTTCCACAGTTCCTCAACGACAGTGCATAGCCAAGAGATCCAGGTTTGGATAGTTACATGTCATTCAAAACTTATTCTAATATCAAACATTCAGGCATAATAGAAAAGTGGGATGCAGTTAAGCAAGAAAATAAGGCAAAAAAAGGACCAATAAAATCTTGCAGCATAGCAAGATTTAGGTATTCTGACGAGAAATCATACCACAGCTCCAATGCACAATATGGCTTGATATTTGTGAGACTTCCCAAGCTTTTCTGCAGCGACACCAATTTCAAAACTACCAGGAACCCACACTACCTGATGCATACATACAATAATTGAACCTATTATTATTAATGAGTGTTCAAGCAAAACAATGACCACAGACCATGTAAAACAATAGGAATGATGAAAGCACTACATGATTTGTGCTACATTTATCCGCATCAGCACCAACAATTTCACCCCAATAAATAATAGACAACTCATGTTTTAACATGACAGTGATCTGAAAATATTCTAAATCATGTTAGACCAGGTTTGTTTTACCACAGCAAATGTTCACTTCTTCTGCAAGTGATTCAATTTAGCAATTCATTAAGGTGAATCCCTGACTAATCAAAGTACATTTGGTTATAACCTATCCAAAAGGTGGTGATTCTTTACCATCAGATGCACAGGCAGGTCTGACAAGCCCCAGGACAGGAAATCCAGCACATCGAGGAAAAATAGTCATGTATGACAAATATGGAGCTAGCCAGGCATCAAAATCACCACATCAATCAGGCACTCCAATTAAGACAACATTATCACTTATAATATAGAAAATCAAGTCATGGATCAGAAATCCATTGATATTATACCCTTCACACATTAAAGATATGTAGATTAGGCATCTGTTACCTATTCCAGTAGAGATGGAAATCTAGGTGCACAAATCTACCAACAAAGGAACACAATAAGCGAAAAATAAAAAAATAAAAAAGTAGCCAACTTTTGAAAGGGTTCCAGATAACTACATACATCAATGTCTTCTTCTTTAACTGAATATCTCTTGAACGTGTCCAAAGCTCCCTCCAAAAGCAGCTTCGTCACAATCTCATTAAACCGTGCCACAACCTTTGCAACGGAAGGCAGTCCATGTACAACAAATTATTAGAAACATCAAGGGGATATATACGTCAAAATAGAATATAAATTGAACTACTGCAAATATTTAGTTGAACCAACATTACCTAGATTACTTAATCATCAACTCAAGTTGCAATTTACCTCCTTTTTTCCCCCTTTTTTTTTTGGAGCAAAAAGTAAATAAATAAAAACTACATAATTTTAAAAGAGTCATTCGTAGGGGAGAGAGAGGTGTTGTGAATGAAGAGGTTGTAAAATTTTGTTAAGGCATAACCACTTACTGCAAGGAAATGAGAGCATTAATATGAGGAGACAAAGTAGAACACATTGTTACATGGCCAGAAATTGGAATATATTTGAATGTTCAGGGAAAATGTGGAAATGCGACCAATATAGAACTAAAAAACATGAATGCACAGCTAGAAATAGAATTTCATAGTACATTATGCATAAAATATATGCATATAAGCACAAAGTGATGCATTCATTGATAAAATTGAATAAATCCCATGTGCTCATTCAAACAAATGCTAAATAACAAGAGAGGGGTGGACATAAAAAGTAAATAGACTGACCACAGCAAAGCGAAGGCCCTCAGTTGCAGTAAGAGATCCCGTCAAATGTCGAACAGCTGTTGTGCGTGCGAACGACGAAGATCGCGTATGAGGAAGATCATCTTCACTGCTCACACCCACTCCAACATTAGGCCAAAAGCCTAAACAAAAAATAGATAGACAAGATTAACACACAAATAGTTTTCATATTAAACTTAAAAAGAAAAATTGACCTAAAATTAAAACCATTCACCTGGAATGGCCGATGAAGAAGTTGTCATAGGTGTTAATTTACGATGAGGAAATAAACGACTACGAAGAGGAGAGTTGTGATGATGTCTAGGTGGTGTGAGCAATGAGCATGAGCTCTTCTCATGATTGAAGGAACGATAATAATCATACTCTTTGTTGGTGGCAGTAGCGGTGGTAGTGTTTGTAGCACCGAATGTTGCAGCAGCAGCCATTGTAATTCTTAAGTTCAAAGTTCAAACGACAACCCCTATGAGCAGGGACGGAGAGGGGCACAAATATTATGTACAAAAATTTAGACAAATAATGTCGACTATAGTTACATCTTTTTAACCATAATTTGCAATGCATTAACATATATTAGACAAAAATATTCAATATAAACTAATATAGTAGAGGACCAAACAAAAGGTAGTTTTTTTTTTAAATTACAAATCCATGTAGCCGTCTATTGAAGAAAAGAGTCATACCTGAAGGGTGTCGGGCTACTGAGAATGAATATAGAAGATTCTTTCGCAATTTCAAAAAGAAAAGAAATTGAGAATCAAATGGTTTCTATAAAATTTTGGTGCTTTTCATTCGGATATCAATTTCTATCAATTTTTGACCAAAAACCAGTCTTCATGTATATACTTCCAAACAAAAATCAATTGTTCTTATGGGCATCCCAGGCTGGTGGCGTTGAAATGGTTGAAGTAAAGGCTTGAATTGAGAGTGGAAGAGAGTACCAAAAACATACGCATCCATAATTTTGTGAAAACTTAACACATACATCCATATTTTTTTTTCCACAATTTAAACCAAAAACTTTATTATCAATTCTACATCCCAACATAAACCCACAAATTAATCAAAAACAATCAAATAATACAATGGGGGGGTGAAGGAGGGGCATGAGGTGGCAGCTGGAGGAACAAGAGGGGTGGAGGAAGAGGGTATGAGCATGGGGGGTTGGGCCATGAAGGCCATGAGGTGGAGTGCATGGATAGTGAGAGGTGTGGAGAGAGAAGGACGGTGGAGCCATGGGCAGTGAGGGGAGAGAGAAAGAGATAAAGAAAGTACCTGGAGGACGGCCGCCTGGTAGATGCCTAATTGTTGTCCAGTGTAGAGAGGGAAGGGGAAGAGTGTTGACTAGGGTAAGAGAGCTGGGTTGGGAGTGTGGGTTACTCTATTTACACCCCCAAATTATCTCATCACACTCTCTTGCTTTTTCTCTAGTTTGCCCTTTTCTTGTTCTTTTTTTGTTCTTGAACATGAAGGCTTTTGAAACCTGTCAACTCCAACAATTCTGGTTTCCCTCGAAGAAGTAGATTGGGATAATGCGAAAGCATGTATCTTTATCAACATCACCACTCTTTCGGATTAGGAATGGGATTGGAATGCTCTTCTCTCCTCTGTTCTTTCACGGAAACGCATCATCTCCAATTCCAGACTTCCATGGTGAAGAAGAAGATGAAGAAGTGTTGGACGTATCTCACTGCGTCATCCAAGACAAGGACCTTCTCCGAAAGAGCCAAAGCTCCGGACTTTACGTCTTGGACCTAATCGACAATGGTGCTCTTGAACCAGACCCAACCATCTACACCAAGCTTCTCAACAAGTGTACCCAACTCGGGAAGCTTCGAGAAGGTCGGATCGTCCATACCCACTTCCGCCAATCTCAATTCAATCACTACCTTGTCATTCTCAATTCCCTCCTCAACATGTATGGTAAATGTGGCAGTCCCGACGACGCACGCCAAATGTTCGATGAAATGCCCACAAAAGATATGGTCTCTTGGACTGCCTTAATCACTGCCTATTCGCAGAACGATAGACCCATTGATGCTCTTGTTTTGTTCCCTCAAATGCTTCGTTTGGGTTTCAAGCCCAACCAGTTTACATTCTCTAGTATTCTCAAGGCTGCTGGGGCTGTGCCTAATGACAGGGATGGCAAGCAAGTTCATGGGTTTGTTGTTAATTATGGTTTTGATTCAAATGTTTATGTGGGTAGTTCTCTAGTGGACATGTATGCTAGGTTCAACCTAATGGATGAAGCCCGGTTTGTTTTCTATAGTTTGCTGAGCAAGAATGAGGTTTCTTACAATGCTCTGATTGCTGGGCATGCGAGGAAGGGTGAGGGAGAGCATGCCATTCGTTTGTTTTGGAAGATGCAAAGAGAGGATTTTAGACCTACCCATTATACCTATTCTAGTGTTTTCACTGCTTGTGCTAGTATTGGAGCTTTGGAGCAAGGGAAATGGGTTCATGCACATATGATGAAGTCTGGCCAACAGCTTGTTGCTTTTGTAGGCAACACTATTCTTGACATGTATGCTAAATCAGGTAGCATTGAGGATGCGAAAAAAGTTTTCAATAGATTGGTTAGACGAGATGTTGTTTCGTGGAATTCGATGCTTACTGCTTGTGCCCAACATGGACTTGGGAAGGAAGCTGTCAGATGCTTTGAGGAAATGCTTAGGACCGGAATTGAACCTAATGCGATTACCTTCCTATGTATTCTCACTGCTTGTAGCCATGCTGGGTTATTGGACAAAGGACAGTATTACTTTGAATTAATGAAGAAGTATGGGATAGAACCAGAGGTTTCACATTATGTCACGATTGTTGATCTACTTGGTCGAGCTGGTCATCTTGATCGTGCTGAAAGGTTCATAAAAAGCATGCCAATTGAACCCGCTGCAGCTGTATGGGGTGCTTTCCTTGGTGCTTGCAGGATGCATAAGAACATAGAATTGGGGGCGTACGCTGCTGAACGTGTATTTGAATTGGACCCACATGATTCGGGACCTCATGTGCTGCTCTCTAATATCTATGCCTCTGCTGGTAGATGGAGTGAGGCTGCAAAAGTGAGAAAGATGATGAAAGAGAGCGGTGTGAAGAAAGAACCTGCTTGTAGTTGGGTGGAGATTGAGAATTCTGTCCATATGTTTGTGGCAAATGATGATGCCCACCCACAGAGAGAGGAGATCCATAAGAAGTGGGAGGAAATATGTTGCAAAATTAAGCAAATAGGCTATGTCCCGGACACTAGTCATGTCCTTTTGTTTGTTGACCAGCAGGAGAGGGAATTGAAGTTGCAATACCATAGTGAGAAGCTTGCTCTAGCATTTTCCCTTCTCTACACACCACCTGGATCCACCATCAGGATCAAGAAGAACATCAGAGTTTGTGGTGATTGCCACTCGGCATTTGGGATAATGCGAAGGGGAGAGAAATCATATTGCGAGACACCAACCGTTTCCACCATTTTCATGGTGGCTTTTGTTCTTGTGGGGACTACTGGTAGTATTAGAAATCAATACCTATCACCTACGAGTACGGTGATGGTCGGTGTGGTGGCTTTGTTTGCTATTTGCCTCTTGCATATTGGACAGGTGTGGCATTGATCTAGGCAAAGCTATACAAAGTAAGGGTAGTTTAATATGCTTGATATGGACTGATGGGCAACATCTATGAACTCAGAGCTGTGCATTTGCATGTCTTGAGCTTTGATGCTTTAGTGAGAATTTGTATTGGCCTTGGGTTTTCTCTACTTCGTTGTGTAGACAAACCGTACAAGGATGAAAACAACCAATGCCAAACCTGGCAAAGCCAAAGGTGTTAATTTTGAAGACAGTTCATATCTACTACAAATTGATCGTGTCATTTGCATTTCATCATCATCAGGCAACTTTCTCACGAGACTAACTTGGTGGCTTGTGGAATTTTACAAATCCACAATGTATTTATCGTGCAGTGCCTTCAAAACGGTTGAAAAGAATGGGTGAAAGGGTTGTTCTGAAGATGCATGGAAAGCAGTTCATACTGATATTGGTATATGTGTACTTTGGATTAAATTGATTGATGAAAATATAAAATCCAAAATTGGAAAAACTTTGGAGAAGGCAATACCTGCAGCAGGACTAGCTATAGCTTTTACTGTCATCCCAGTTTGGAAAAACCAATATCCTCAGCAATTGTAAAGTCATTCCAGGTTCACTTACCAAAGCATATATGTACAATTCATGGCTCAATGGTGATATGGTTTAAATTGGTTTGCTTCATTATAATTTAAATTAATTTTGCTATGCAAAATGCAAATGACCATTTTAAGGGGTTGTTTGGCAACTTGCTTATTTTTTTATAAATTATCATACCACTTCTCTACTTTTTTACATATACTTTCATAAAAAATTAAAGTCATAAACAAATCCCTTTTCACTCTTTGCTGTTAAATGAGCTAGTTAACTTCTTCACTCTCCACGTTTTTCACTCTTTATTGCACCCAAAAAGACTACCATATCTTACTACATGTGGTTTGAGTGTGGAAAAAAAATTACTAATCAATCAATTGTGTTAACCCAAACTAAATTGTGCGATTTGAAAGGGTGAGTGGGTTAGATTTTAAAAATTACTGTGTCGAAATTAGTTAACGTGTTAAAAATGAGTGCATTGATTATGATTTTTTATCATTGTGTTTTGATGAATAAAAAATACAATAATATGATTTATTACCTATCATGTTTGAATAGAGTAAATAATATAAAAGAAAATAAATTATTTAATTTAATTTTACCAAAATTATCTTTCATATTGCGGGTTAGATTTAAAAAATTAGTGTGTTGAAATTAGCCAACGTGTTAAAAATTAGTGTGTGATTATGATTTTTTACTATTATGTTTCGATGAATAAAAAATACCATAATATAGTTTATCACCTATGATGTTTGAATAGAGTAAATAAGATAAAAATAAATAAATTATTTTATTTCATTCTACCAAAATAATCTCTCATACTAGTAAATTATTTTTTCACCTTCTTCCACCATAAGATAATTTTGTTATTTTAATGAAAGTATTATTAAAATCCACTTATTTTTTCACTATTTTTGGTGAGAAACAAAACACAGCTTTAGTTTATCTGCTAACCATATATTGTCATGTGATAAATTGAATAACTTTCACCACCATAGCCCTAAAAATTTTACTAGTAAGAAAAGTCGAACTTGAGACCATGGAGGAGGTGTCAGGATCCTCTAGAGTGAAATGGTAAAGTGATCCTCTACGGTGAAAGTTTTGAATTTAACACTTGTCCCACTAAAGAGATGGAGGGTTGAGATCTTCCTTCATCAAAATGACGTCGTTTCGATGAGGAAAAAAAAAACCTTTCTTCAGTTCAGGTAGGGGATTGACACAAAGAGAGAGAGAGAGAAGTATCGAAGAAGAAGAAGAGAATAAGAGGCATCGCAGCCACAAACCCCTTCCCCATGATTGCTAAACCCACCAACCCTTGCCTCTCTTTCCCATTCCCTGCAAAACGAGATTTGGTGAAGAATCTTTTATCTTTTGGCAGGTGAATCTCTGAGGAAAAAAAATATGTGATTGTTTCACATGGAATGGAAAACAGATATAAAGAAAAAAAAAAAAAAAAACTGTGATTGCTTCACTCATTAAATCAAATAAAGTAAAGATCACTATATTATATAATATAAGTGAAAACATTAGATGTAAGAACATGAGATCTACAGAAAATGAGTAAAATTTTCAAATAAAATCAAATAAAATCATTTTCAGATTAGACATATAAAAAACGACAATGCTACGTAGCTCAAATTTTGTGGCTCAAAAGTGGCTTAAATGGCCAAAACGACGTCGTTTTGAGTACAAAACAACATAAAAATGGCCAAAACGACGTCGTTTTGGCCATTTGAGCCACTTTTGAGTCACAAAATTTGAGCTACGAGACATTTTCCTATAAAAAATAAGGGAGGAAAAAAAAAAAAAAAACTCATATTCAACACATAAAAGCTGAAATGTATAATGTAAGAACATGAGATCAACAAAACTTCAACTTCTCCTACTGTATAACTTTAGTAAGTATCATGATCAACGTGGAGCTCTTAAATAAAATTGTTATATATATGGGTATTTAGAATAATGTCTCATAGCTCGAATTGCATTTGGGCCGAATGGCTCTAATGCCCAAAATGACGTCGTTTTGGATATTTTTTTTTTTCGCCTTTGTTTTGTCTGTGAAATAGACAGAAGAAGAAGGAAAAGAGAAGAAAAAGACAATGAAAAGAAAAGAAGGATAATGAGAGAAAATGAAGAGAAAAGAAAGAAAAGAAGGAGCAAAAACAGATCTAAGACATATCTGTAAATCTGTGTGTATACACATAGAGTGGACGGTGATCGGCACTGGTGGGTGGCTCTCTCTCTCTTTCTCTCTGCTAGTGGGTGGCTCTCTCTCATATATATATATATATATATAGATCTGTGTATACACAGATTGATTGTATATTGTGAGGGTTTGTGAGTTTTGGGTATACTTTGTGAGGATATGTGTATACACAGATTCATTGACCATTTTTGCTTCATGGGTTGTGTTGAAACTCAACCAATGGCTCATGGATTGTTCATTGATTGCTTGAAATTTTTTGGGTTTAATTGATTGCTTGAAATCGTGGGTGTTGAAATATTCTGTGGGGGTTGAAATGTGTTGAAACTCAACCAATGGTTCATGGGTTGTTCATTGATTGTTTGAAATTTTCTGAATTTGTTCATTGATTGCTTGAAATTGTGTGTTGAAATATACTTCATTTCTCTTTCTTCTCTCTTTCTCACTTATCTCTCTTTATCTCGCCTCTCTGTTTCAAACAGAAAATCAAAGGGGAAAAAAAACTGCCCAAAACGATGTCGTTTTAGGTAGTTGAGCCATTTAGACCAATTGAATTTTGAACTACGTAGCAGCGTTGGGGTATTTATGTATTGAACTTAAATGAGACCCACAAATCTCTTTGAAATAGAGATTAAAAAACAAAACCAGTATTTGGAGACATTCAAACTCATTTCAACTTCGGCAATGATCGATGGAAGCATCGATTGAAATCATAGAACACTTGCTGGTGAGTCAGCAACAAAGGTGGTGCCGATCAACATCGGTCGTTCCTTTCCCCAACTTTGCCACTTCTAACGCTGGCACTCTTGCTTTATTCTTCTCTTTGCCGCTGCCGGATTTCTCTCTCTATGGCTGGAGTGAAGTGAACTAAGAGCTTCTGTATTTTTTTCCCCACCAAAACGACGTTGTTTTGATGAAGGAAAATCTCAACCCTCCACCTCTTTAGTAGGACAGGTGTCCCATTCAAAGCTTTCACTGTAAAGGATCACTCTACCATTTCACTCTAGAGGATACTGATGCATGGAGGGGAACTATGCACGTGGCCAAACCCTTTGGAATTAAACCATTTTTTTTTTAAATTTTATCAATAAAATACTTTATTAAAGTGATTTGTACAATTTATTTTGATTTATTATCTATCTATATTATTATATATATAAACATATGACTTGATATTTAGGCCAAGTTTGGCATAATTGAAAAAAGACAAAAAGTCAAAAAGTCACTATCCTATTTAAGTCACATCATCTTATTTAAGTCACATCACCTCTCTAACACATCACTTCAAACTCAACCCAAACCCAATCCATATTTTATAAAAAGTCAAAAAGTGTACTTATTTTAGTCTTCCCAAACTAAGCCTTAATAGTACGAAGACTTGTTCTTCTATTACCTAATAAATTTTCTTATCATAGAATAAAAAATATATTATTTAAAATTAAAATTTTAAATTTTATTAAAATGTAAGATAGGATATGAATAATGCTTGGGATTCCCTTTTGGGGGTCACCCCCTCACCCCCTTGCCACGTGGCGGGTGGTGATTGGAGGAGCAGGAAAAAAAAGAAAAAGAAAAAGAAAAAGTAACCAATGAGAGAGAGAGGGGGTCAAAGGAGTGGGGGAAAAAGGGGGATGAATCATTATTGATAGGATATATTATGATATAAATGAAGAAAGGATACCTAAGAATTTAAAAAACCGGCGTCAGTCAGCCTTTAAACCACCGTCCTCGCTCCCCTCTCGATACGATAGATGAATTCAATACGCCGTGAAACCAGAGGCAGCCTGGTACCAGCCCAGCCAAGCAGTTCCGTTCCGTTCAATTCTGCGAGCGAGCTCTTCGGAATGGAAGATCGGGAAGATTTGAGGTCGATACTACCGTATTTGCCGGTGGTTCTCCGATCGTCGACATTGTTCTGGCCCTCGCAAGTTGTGGAAGCTCTCAAAACTCTGTCAAGAGGTCCCCAACACAGCAGAGTCGACTCCGGTGAGGTTTTCTTCATCGCCATTTCTGATCTCAGGCACTCCCTCTCCCTCTCTCACTCGGAACGCCTTGCCTCCACCGCTGCCGATGGCTACGCCCTCTTCTTTGACGACGTAACTAATTATCTTCTCCTTCGCTTCCCCTATTTTCATTCGATTTTCTGTTTGTTTCCGCATAAAACTATGAAAATTAATTTTCACTCGTGTTTTTTAATATTTGGTTGTATAATTCAAACAATGTAGTAATATTTTCACTCGTGTTTTTTAATATGTAGTCGTAAAATGTTTTTCAATTTTACATTTTTTTTTTCTTTCTTTCTTTATTTTCGGCCCAAATATGCTTGTTTTTAGTTGATCATGGAAAATGTTTATTATTATTGACTATGAAAAATATTTTCAGTTAGACTTTCATTTTATGCTGTACCAAATGCAAGAAAATGTCTTAAGAGAATTTTACAATTCAGGTAGGAAGGACCAAAAAAAAAAAAATAGCAAAACATGGGAGGTGCAACTCATAACCCTTCCTTGTTTGTGTAAATATATATATTTTTTTGGGTCTGTTGCACTAAACTATAATTCCCCCAATGTTTTGTGCCTCAACAAATAGAGCACTAGTTTTGTATCATTTTACTTTGTATCTAAAATTTAAACAGTTGATGTTTCGTATCATTTTACTTTGTGTCCAAAATTTAAACAGTTGATGTCCCGTGCTGAGGCGGCAAAATGGTTTGGAGAGGCAGTCCCGGCAATGGCAAATTTGCTATTGCGGTTGCCGTCTCTGTTAGAATCTCATTATGAAAATGCAGATGGTAATGGCGGAAGAACTAGTCTTCGTATCTTAGAGTCACAAGAACAAGGGATAGTTTTCCTCAGCCAGGTATATGCTTATTTGGTATTCAATTATCAGATTGAAGCCTTTGATTGCATGCATAAATCGCTGCCCATCATTGTTTTATTTCATTTGTGGTAATTATATCACTTTACTAGATATTCTGTATGGTTGGTTACTTCTAAATTCTTGAAATATAAAATTTTGAAAATTAAAAACGAACAACTTTGGCAAACCATAATATGCCCAGAAAGAATCCTTATTTAGCCTGCTCAGTAGCAAAGCTTGGTACTTGTTACTAACTAAGATCTAATAATTGTATAGGGTATATTTTTTTGGATAAGTAATATTATAACCAAAAAAGAAGGATATACAATGAAGTTTAACACATCTTTGTAGGGAGCACAAAATAAACAGAACCAAACTACTCCCATCAAAGGACACAAAACTAAGCCTACAGAAGATATAAAACAACTTTCACAACAAAGAGGATTCAAAATTTCCGTATAGCACTTTTCAGGTTATGAAGTTTCTTTTTGAGTTTTCTTCTATTTTCCTCCTCAGTGGTCTCCCCATTACTAGGGTCACTTGGAGATGGACTCCCTCTATGATTTAGAATATTCATTTGGTACAACAACTCTCCACTCAATTAGGGTATACATCTAATCCTAGAGAAAAAATAAATTTTCACTCCTGTGTTTCTGTTTGTCCTTTTATTTTAGATGGCCTTATTTTTTTTTTTTTTTACAATGTCTGTTGTTTTCAGGAATTGATCGGTGCCCTTCTTGCATGCTCCTTCTTTTGTTTGTTTCCAATCACTAATAGAGGTGCCAAACATCTTCCAATGATCAACTTTGATCATTTGTTTGCGTATGTAACTGACTGTTGGCTTCTTTATTTTTATTTTATTTTTTAAATGTCTTGTGTATGCAGGATAAAAATAATGGCCTTGTTTGGTTTGTGTTTCTCAAAAATTTTTGGGAAAAATTCTCTACAAATAAGTTTTCAAAAGTAATCAAATCAAACAAATTTTCCCAAAAAATTTTTTCAAAACTTGTTTGGTTTACAAGTTTTCCAAACAAATATTTCTCTCATACACATCAAATCAATCACTTTTTCCAAAACTCTCTCTCAAAATAATTTTCCAAAACATCTTTTGAAAAAAATCAAACCAAACAACTTTTCGTACTTTTTATCTCTAAAACTCATCTCCCAAACTCAAACCAAACATACCCAATGAGTTTGAGACATATGTATGACAATAACGTTGTATATTCTACATGCTTTCCTTTGCTTAATTCGTCAAAATAGTATCTTATAAGAAAAAAGATGTTTTCTACAGGTCATAATTATGTGATATCATTACTTAGTGTCGGATTTGAGAAGTTGAGAAAGTTCCTTTCTATGGACAATATATTTGTAAAGGCTTCTCTCTCTGTTTTAGAGGGGATGGGGGTGGGGGGATTCAACAAGACAACTAAAGGACTTAAGCTAATGACATTAAGGTTGAACAAGTAACCAAACACATCACTAGGCCACTAAGGACAGTGACAATGTAAAAGAAAAAAAAGCTTGTTCTCTCAAGTTGAGTTCCTCAAAGCCAATTCTGTGGGTATTGACCCCCAAGGTGTCTATATTTAACTGTTAGTTGCCTTTAATGGAAAGTATTACATTTAAGTGAGGATTCTGCTTTTGATTGTGGCTCCTTGTTGTGTTAAAGGTAGTACAATGCCAAATGTCAAAAGTGAAGATTATAGCCAGAACAGAAGGTGCTGAAGAGCCTAAAGCACATAATTGCAAAAGGATTGAAATAAAAAGAAGAAAATCTAGGGAACCACCTTTGGGCACCACCTCTAGCCATTGACAACCACCTTTGGCCACTACCTCCCACCAGCAACCAGCTTCAGCCACCTCGTCTCACTTGTTTTCACAAGAAGTTTTTGGACATGTTTGTACAAAACATATTTTTGTTGTCATTATTACAAAAAATAAACAAAACATGTTAATGATCTTATAAACAAAAAAAAGTGAGGGAGCATAATAGATTGACCTTTCAAGGAGTAGAGCAGTCTCTATATAGGCTTAAGTGTTGTTTTTGGCTATTTTGTATAGTTTGATAGGGAAGAAGGTTATACTTATTTTTTGAAGGAAAAAAAAAGAAGAGAGTAGGTGTTCGCAATATTGTTAAATGATGATGTTTTACCTGAATGTTTAAAATTTTATTAAGAACATGCATTGGTCATCTATATAAACTAAGAAAGGTGCAGTATTTATTTGGCTTTGTTGATTCATATATGAGTTTTGTGCTATCATATATGAATCGATCAATTTCTTTCTTCTCATATCAGGAAAATAGGTTCATTTCATATTCATGTGTCTGCAGGAGTCTCTATGACAGTTATAATGAAATGCAAGAGAATAAAATAAAATGCATCACACACTATTTTGAGAGGATATGCTCCTGTATGCCTGTGGGTGTTGTCTCCTTTGAGCGTAAAGTACTTCCTTTGGAAAATAGCTTTCCTTGTGTTTCTTATCCAAAGGCTGATTTTTGGAGCACGTCTTCTATTCCTCTCTGTCGTTTCAAGGTAACAAAGGAACATATATACTTGTTTAATTTGTGTGTACATTTTTGTTGGTTTAGTAACCCAACTTTCAATGGTTTACTGGAAAGATATGATGTTTTTCATCTTTGTTGTTGTTGTAGGTTTATAGGTCTGGCTTGATAGAAGATCAATCTTGTGAAGCTCTTGAAGTGGATTTTGCTAACAAGTATCTTGGAGGTGGTGCTCTTCACAGGGGTTGTGTACAGGTTTGCTTTCATGGAAAAGATGGACCCTTATTCTGATTATCAAATTATTTGGTCAATTAGAATTGTTCTTGACTTGTACTTGTACTACTAGCCTTGTTTTATTCTCCTGAACGTGTTCATGAAACCAGATTTAATTCAATTTCACTTACCAATGAAATAACACTGATTGATTGCAGAGTTTAAGAAAAATTTATCACTCAATTTGCTTAACTCAACAAGCCCCAATCTAATCACATAAATGTTGGTAACATTTCCAGTTGCAGCTATGAAGGCCATGGGAGTTTCATGCCACTAAGGTCCAACCAATTTTTGAAAGGGGAATATCCAGAAATTTCTTAGGTGGTGTTAGGTTGAGGACTAAGAAAGGTTTCATAAAAAGTGTTAAAACCTATCACCTACTTCACCCACTTAAACCTACTCCACTAAACCTAACCCACTACACCACTACCACCTCACCTACTCCACTAAACCTAACCCACTACACCATTACCACCTCACCTACTCCACTAAACCTAACCCACTACACCACTACCACCTCCACTTCACCTACTCCTTACCTGCTACACACTCACCCTCTTCTATATATAGGAATCATGAATCATTGTAATATATATCAATATATCAATCAATAATACAATTCTCTATTTCTCTTTATACATTGAATTTTAACATGGTATCAGAGTAGGTTTAGAGCCTAATATTTTCGCTTCCCCGGCGGGCGGCAACCTCACCTTAGTCGCCCGCTGGACCTCAACCTAATCCGCTAGAATTTTCTACACATACCTTGAAATTTATTCGAGTCCACCACCACTGCCCCTCCTCTCACTGTTGACCTTAACCCGTCGCTGCAGTCCCTTCACTCTGATCAACAGCTGGACACACACACACTGCCGGCACCATCGCAGCCACCTTCGGCATGGCCAACCTCATCGCCCGCCCCTTCGGCGGCTTCGCTTCCGACTACTCCGCCAGATTCTTCGGCATGAGAGGCCGCCTATGGACCCTCTGGCTCCTCCAAACACTCGGCGGACTCTTCTTCTTCCCTGTTTCCTCATCTGTGATCAGCTGGAAATCCAGGTTCAGATGCTTGAAATTGCGAGTCAGCTTCCCTCTAGGTCCCTCCACTTCGATCATCTTCGCCTTCATTTTGATCTTCACCCCATCTGGGATGTCCATGGTCTCCGACGACAACATCGTCTTCATCTCGCACACTCTCTCTCTCTGTATTGACATTCAGGGAGAAAGACAGACACACACACATGGGCTAGGTATGGTCTGCTTGATGAGATCCAAAACAAGCTTGATTATGTCTTGGCCCTTACTGTGGAGGAAGTTGGTGTTGCACGTGGATCCAGCTTTCCCGCCGCTCACGTTGTGGTTAATTCACTTTTTTGGAAATACTGGTGGTGGTTTCTAAGTTCTGTGGGCTGCATGTTCTATTATAATATATTATCTTATTATAGTATGATATATTATATTGGCCATTATCTATTCAGCTGGTTTTGTAAGCAAAAACAAAATAAGCATTGGTATGCATGGATCAAGTAACACCATGTGCTGGTTCCACCCACGTTCTTTCACTTTTCTTTTATTATCTTTTTATTATAATATATTTTCTTTATTCCTACTTTTATTTTATTTTATTTTTTCTATCTTTCTTTTTTCATCCCTATTTTATTATTCTACAACTCGTTAGTAAGCATCACCCTTTTTCCATTATCTTATTATTATTTTTTATATTCCACAAAAAAAAAAAAAAAAAAAAAAAAACCGATGTTTTTCATATGACCCATCCACAAATATTTTTATCTATTTTCTTTATCCGTTGTTTTATTTTATTTTATTTTTATTCTTAAACCAAACAACAACACAAAATAACACCAACCACATTCCACAAACTTGTCATTTCTTCATGTCGGGGATCAACCCCGATCACAATTTTACAACAAAAAAAAAAAAAAAAAAAAAAACAACAAACAACCACACCCATAGTGGATTTTTCTTCTCTACTCTGCAGCCGGTCTCTTCTTCTTGCCTCCTCTTGGACGGCCCTTGACGGTGTTGCCTCCGTGCTTCCTAGACCACCAAGCAAGTTGCCTCTCTCCCTGCTCCTCCACTACAGCCATATGGGCCCTCCAAATCGGAACATCACGGTGCTTCCGCTTCAGCTCCTTGTTTTCTGCCTTTAGCACACTTATCTCTGCTCTCCGCATCTTTTACATGCATTGGAGCAGAGCCAACTGGGAGTTTAACTGTTGCACCTCATTTGTCCTGCTCTGCAGCGGTGCGACAAGTTTTGTGACCGCAGTCATGGTTTCCACACATGACTTCAGAGTATACTGATTGGCCTCAATATCAGTTTGCACCGCCATTTTTGCTCCACCGACCGCATCGGAAAGTTCAACGGAGCAAACACAGAGGTGTTTGTGAGGTTAACTGGCCACCGCACCATTCTCTCTCTTGTTGACTCATTGAGGTCGGGAAAGAGAGTGAGCAGCCCACGGGAAGACGAAGCCATTTTCTGTGGCACAGAGTGTTACAGCGTCTTACAGGTATGTTTTTTCTCTCTCAGCAAAGGAAGAGTTTTTTTCAAGTTTCTCTTTAGTTTTTTTGTCTCAGCTTTCTGCCTAAGCCTCAGCCTTCGTCTTGATTAAAATAGCCGAGGCAGACACGCGCATCATGCGCCGCTTGCGCGCTCCGACAACTTGGCACGCCTTTTGATGCATGTCTTTTTATGACTTGGGCTCGCCTTTGATGGCACGCCTTTTTATGGATTGGGCACGCCTTTTGATGGCACACACTTTTGAAAGATTGGGCACACCGTTTGAGGGTGCGACTTTTTATGGGTCCACAAGACTCTGGAAACTGTCCCGACATTGATCCGTTAGCTCCTTCAAGGGTCCGACAAGACTCTGAAACTGTCCCGACATTGCTTCCGTTAGCTCCTTCAAGGGTCCGACAAGACTTTGTAAACTGTCTCGACATTGATTCCGGTTAGCTCCTTTATTGGGTCCGACAAGACTCTGGTAAACTGTCCCGACATTAATTCTGGTCAGCTCCTTCATGGGTCCGACAAACTCTGTAAATTGTCCCGACATTGATTCCGGTTACTCCTTTATGGGTCCGACAAGACTCTATAAACTGTCCCGAACATTGATTCCGGTTAGTTTCTACAAGGGTCCAGCAAGACCGTAAACTGTCACAACAACTGTCACAACATTGTCTTGCTACAACGGTCCAACATGACCCCATAAACTGTCTTCTACATCAGTCTGACACCGCCATCCAGTGTCCTCTACAACGTTATGACACCACCATACAGTGTCTCTTATCCTCTTTTATTTTATGTATTAATCTATTTTCTTGTTTTGTTACTCTCTCCAAACTCAAGTTGGCTAGTTCCTATCCCTCTTGAGTTTGCGGGGGGCTGTTAAAACCTATCACCTACTTCACCCACTTAAACCTACTCCACTAAACCTAACCCACTACACCACTACCACCTCCACTTCACCTACTCCTTACCTACTACACACTCACCCTCTTCTATATATAGGAATCATGAATCATTGTAATATATATCAATATATCAATCAATAATACAATTCTCTATTTCTCTTTATACATTGAATTTTAACAAAAAGTTAAAAGAGCAGCAAATAAAAGCTTTAAACCCTCAAAATACTAATTGAGTCAAAATTCTTTCTTGGTTCTTACTCAGGCATTGTTGATCCCCATAGTTTAATTGTGTTTCTGACTTATCCTTAACGTTGTGTTTGGTTCATGGATTTAGGTAGGGATTTGGAAAGGAAAAGGGAAAATATAGGTGAAATGTGAATGAAATATAATTACATTTCACACACCTTTTCCTTTTTCCCTTTTCCCTTTTCCCTTTTCCCTTTTCCTTTCCAAATCCATGAACCAAACACAACTTAAGTGTCTCTGTGTCTTCTTTGTCTTTTTTATTCTTGCAAACTTTTTACAATCTCTTTGACCATTATCTTTGAAAGCTTTTTCAAAATTGGACTATTGATATTTCGGTGTCATAATTATCTTGTGTAGGAAGAGATCCGTTTCATGATCAATCCAGAATTAATTGCTGGCATGCTTTTCTTACCTTCCATGGCAGATAATGAGGCTATAGAAATTATAGGTGCAGAAAGGTTTTCAAATTATACAGGGTGAGTACAACTCACTAGATTATGATTGAGAACATTTACTAATGGCTGTCTAAACATTACCATTTGCTACATTGTTATCAATGGCACCTCAAATGTATCCATATTATGTCTATGATTCAGATTGATGCAGCATTTGTAGTTGATAACGATTTGATGCAGCATTTGTTGCTGGAGTGTCTTCGGGCATGTTTGTCTATTGAGTAAAGAAATACCACCAATTTGAACCCTAGCTGGACTATCCTTCTCACCATCAATTTGTTATAAATTGAGGTTACACTTACTGATAGCTTAGACAACTACCTTGCAAATATTGTACTAGTGGCAACTTGGTTAGTCCAGACACGACACTACCAAATTGGTGTTATAAAAGTAAACAGTCAACCACCTTCTCTTGGCAGATTATGGTCAGGTCTTCTTCATTCCCTTGTTGTCTGGGGATTGAGAAACATTTTGGGTTCCATCGAAAGTAGCTTTCTTTGTGTGGACAACAACTCATGTTTTTTTTTACCATTGATAACCTGGGGAGGAGGGATTTTTTCCCCTTCCTAATTGGTGTTGCATGTGCCACAAAGATAATTAATCAGTGGATCACTTGCTTTTTCGTTACAAGGTGGTGACAGAAATTTGGAGTTGAAGTTTTCCATTTTTCATGCTGTCTGAGCTATACCGGCCTCAATTTGTTTGCTCCTTCAGTCTTGGGCATGTGGGTGCTCTTCCAGGAGGGTCTTAAAAGCTTGGAAGGTGGCACCCATCTGTTAGATGTTTGAGTGCGTGACGCAAATGGAATAAGCATACTTTTGAGAAGTTAGAGTCGTCATTATGTATTATATAGTTGTATGGAATCCATAGATTTTTTGTGAATCGTCAGTCGCTCTTGTAGATTTTTTGGGACAGATCTCTTTTGGCGAGACGTAGTTTGATTGAATAAAACTAATGTACAGAGATTATGTCATTTCTGGCATGTTTTGAATATATTTTACTTACATCAAATAAGAGATAATAATAATGAGAATAATTTTCAAGTTTGTCAACAAGAATTCAATTCATGAATTCTTTTTCTCTCCAAATGTCTAGTAATCTTATATTCCAATGGCTCTCAACTAATCCATCAAAGTGGTACAGGTATGCTTCTTCATTCCGTTTTTCTGGTGACAATGTTGATAAGAGGGATTTAGATTTAATGGGAAGACATAAGACGAGAATCGTTGCGATTGATGCACTATGCAGGCCAGGAAAGAGACAATTTGGACAAGAATGCCTTCTCCGGTATGTAAAATTTTGGTTTATGTTATTTTTTGCTGTTATTTGTGTATTTATGTAGATGTATTTTTGTATACATGCATTTTTGTACATACTGGAGCCAAATTCATTATTCAATAGTGATGTTTCTAGTACACTGTATAGAAAGGGTTCATTATTGATGTCGGTCCTGCACATTTTGAGTGTTTGGAGTAGTTGATTGTATCTTCTCTTTTGGCTGGTATTGTAAGGTAACACCTTATCCCAAACCTCTAATTTAACCATTGCAACCCATAGGGTGGATTATCTTTCAACGATATATGGATATAGGTGTAATAAATAAGAATTGACTGGAAATAATAGGTCTTAAGGTAAGCAGTCTGAGATTGAATGATTTACATTTAATTCTCATTAACAGGAATAGACTAGTAATCAAGATTCAAGTGTTTGGTTTCTTTTTTGAGAGAGGCTTCTTCCCAGTCATCTAAATGACTGGATCGTCCAGTTCAGGTCCGTGGGCACAACTCCCATTTGATGATCCAATCTGTTTATTGTTTAGGTCTATGTGTGTAGATGACATCATGTGGTCACAATTATTGAATCAATTTGATTTTCTTCATGGACGATATAAGTAGAGGCCTACAACTAGAACAAATCGGATCATCATAATGGGGCCTGTGGTGGGCCCATGAGCCCGGATTGGACTGGTCTAGACATGCCCAACCCTTCGATTTTTAGTTTTAAATTTTCATTATTTTTATGGTTGAAGAGATCTGCCAATGGAATTAGCCCATGGTGAATGAAAACTTGAGTCGAGTGCACAATGGAGTGGGGTAATTGACTTTTACCTACCTTACTGATACAAAACTTTTCTAAGATGTAGTTGACTTATATAATAGTTTGGCTGAAATAAGAATATATAGAGATGGATGACTGTAGGCCAAAACGGGAACAAATTAGAGACTGACACATACTTGAAACAGTAGAGGTGCCAAATGAGAAACCAATGAGAGAAGTTGTATTAAAGATTGAATTTAATTCGTGATGAACTCAGATTTGAATAATGGGTTGTATTTTCAAGTGGATGACCATAAGTCTAGTTTAATAACAATGGATTTGTTTCTGACTAGATCAGTCCTGATTATCCCCATCTAATTGTGTGAAGGATCATAAAAAGCATTCAAAATTGATTTCTTTTGTGAGTGGTGAAATAGGATACATGTAGTTAAATAACCAGGATAAGTTTTTCTTGACTTATTTCTTTACCATCTAAATGATTTTGTTGTTTGTATTTAGATCGTCTGTACAATTGGATTGCATTAAAGGCATTTGCATAGCTTATTATTGTGTAGCTATGTTACATGGACTCTTCAAATTAAATCAAATACCCGTGTCGGACACCCGACACTCGGACAAGGGTATGGGATATGTGTCGCATACTTTTCAACGGATACTTCTTATATAATTATATATAACACTATTATTATATGTATATATTGTTATATAATTGCTATAAATGTCATTTTGACACTATAAGTTAAATATAATACCATTTTATCTCACATATTAGATTAAAAATATAAAAATATGACATTTTTTTGCCGAGTCCGCGTATCCTTAAATTTATGATTTGATGAGTCCGACCTCTAGATACATACCCGCACCCGACACCCGTACCCAAGTCCATGTAACATAGTGTGTAGGTATTGATCAGTAACTGTGTCACTCCAAGTTGCTCGTTTAAACAGGGAGATTAACAAGGCGTTCTGTGGCTTTTTCGGTCAATCTAAATGTCAGCAGTATCAGAGACTGTTTCAAGATGATAAATTTTGCAGAGATCAGATTGATCAAGATGTTAAAGGCCTCATAGGCATATGCAGGGATTCTCATTTGGTATTGTTCTTTCTCTCAAGTTCAATTTGAATAAAAGAATATTGGGAAAAATTCAAAAAACCCCAATGTTTGACCCTTGTGACAAAATAAACCCCAAAGTTTTAAATCATGAACTTTTAAAATGATACCAATTCCAATCATCCGTCAATATTTGTTAACTAAAACTAACGGTGAAGGGATAAATTTGCCATTACGCTCCACCACCTCACTGCCTCCCTGCCACCACAACAACCCCCTCCATCTTCTCTCACAATTGCCACCATCACACCCACTATCCCCTTGCCCCGCAACTGCTGGAGAGAGAAAGAGAATGGTGATGGCCCCACCCTATCTCCCCCAGCCACCGACACCCCGTCCCTCCCCTTTCCCTGCAGCTGTTGAAAGAGAAAAATACAGAGTTGAGAGAGAATAATTGGAAAAATAAATGAAAACCAATTTGGGAACCCTGAATTGGGGGCCTCTGTAGCATTTTATCTCACTGTAAATACGGATGCATTCTACCAAAGTACCCAATAATGAAAATTTTGGCTCAAATATGCAATTGATATAAGAATCGTGGATACAATAGACCGCATCATATCATCTTTCGAAAGAGTACTACTAGAAAGACAAGGCAAATAAGGCATTAGCCTTCCCTTGCACTGATGTAAAAAGAATCATGGATGAAAGAATCACAGCCCTCCTACTACCAACTCCTATTATTACTAATAGAAAAAAAAGGAGAAAAAGAGATCACCCTCTTTACTTAGACAAGACAACTGCATTGATCACTGTTTGAGCATTTCTGTATAACTCCAATTTCTTTGCAAGGTTAATACGCCATTGCATTATTGCTGGATCCTCATCCAATGAGCCCAACTGTTTAGCCTACAAAACAATTTGGAAAGATAAATAAGCAACAGCCACCCTGGTCCTCCCCTTTCCCTGAGAAACCCCTTCCCTCCCCTTCCCCAGCATTGGCCGACCCCCCTCCCTCCTCCTGTGAATGAGCCCCTTCCCCTTTTCCCGAAATCTGGAACCATCTTCTATTAAAAAGAATAAAGATAAAAAGAGGAGAGGGACATAGATCAAATTGACAAAAAAATATCCAATAAGAATTATGTATATTGACAAAATTGTCCCAATTCCGTCAAGACTACTTAATGAATATTGACAGATGGTTGGAATTGGTATCATTTTAAAAGTTCATGATTTAAAACTTGGGGTTTATTTTGTCACAAGGGTCAAACAGTGGGGTTTTTTGAATTTTTCCCAATATTATTTTATTCAAATTGAACTTGAGAGAAAGAACAATACCAAATGAGAATCCCTGTATATGCCTATGAGGCCTTTAACATCTTGATCAATCTGATCTCTGCAAAATTTATCATCTTGAAACAGTCTCTGATACTGCTGACATTTAGATTGATCGAAAAAGCCACAGAACGCCTTGTTAATCTCCCTGTTTAAACGAGCAACTTGGAGTGACACAGTTACTGATCAATACCTACACAAAATAATAAGCTATGCAAATGCCTTTAATGCAATCCAATTGCACAGACGATCTAAATACAAACAACCAAACCATTTAGATGGTAAAGAAACAAGTCAAGAAAAACTTATCTTGGTTATTTAACTACATGTATCCTATTTCACCACTCACAAAAGAATTCAATTTTGAATGGTTTTAATGATCCTTCACACAATTAGATGGGGAAAATCAGGACTGATCTAGTCAGAAACAAATCCATTGCTATTAAACTAGACTTATGGTCATCCACTTGAAAACACAACCCATTATTCAAATCTGAGTTCATCACGAATTAAATTCAGTACTTGTTTGGGACCTACTATTGTATGAGAGGGTTCAAGAATGTTGTGGGAAAATTCGAAGATCTTTGAAGAAGACTCGAATTCTCTAGAAATGATGAGAGGCTTAGATTCTTCAACAATCACAACTAAGAACACAATAGCAAAGAGATAATGGAGATAAAAGATTGGGTGAAGAAGAATGCAAAGTAGTTAGAGAGAGAATAATGGCAAGGCTATCCCATGGATCTCCCACTTTTACTCTCAAGGTAGATAATGGAGAAGGGAAATTAGTTTTTTCCCAAAAAATGTCTCTTCAAA